CAATTATTACCAAATGAAGATTTGAGACAACGATATCTTCATACACACAATTTTTTGGACGATTCGAATAACGTACAATCAGAATCATCTCTAGGTTCAATTTTAACTTCCGCATCCATGAATTTGCTATCATTCTGAATCTTCTGCTCCTTACCAGGTATAATGTTCACATCAATTATGTGCTTCCAGTTATCTACATCTCTATCCTTGTTTCCTCGCTTCTTACTCAAAATCCCTTCATTCATCTTCTGTCTCTTACCATGTACAATCATCACATCAAATCTATGATTCATGTTATCTAAGTTCCTATCCTCGTTTCCTTGCCTCTTACTCAAAATGCCATCTTTCAACTGCTGCTCCTTACCAGGTACAATCTTCACATCAACTCTGTGCTTCGTATCATCTAAATCCCTATCCTCGTTACCTCGCTTCTTACTTAAAATCCCATCTTCCATCCTACTCTTTCTGGCATTAGTCTTTAGAGCTTTTGAACTCCTCAATTTGTATTTTGCCCTTACATTGTCCAGACCATTTTCACCTCCATGAATCTCCAACTCCCTATCCTTATTCCCTCGCTTCTTACACAGAGTACCAACTTTCATCTTCTGCTTCTCAACAATGGAGACACTCCTATTCTCTCTCGCATTAGCCTTTAGACCTTTTGAACTCTCCCCCAATTTGTATTTTTCCCTAACATTAACCTGATCCTTTTCAACTCCATGGATCTCCAACTCCCTATCTTTCTCATACTTGATGAACACAGGCAATCCATTCAGATCATTAACTTTAGAAACATATGATGCTCCATCTAGCTTGGTCTTAGCCAAAAAATTCATATAAAGCGGGTCAGCTTCAACATCAGTACTAAGGTTATGCCTATAACCACCATAGGCAGATCTACCCTTCTCTATAGATAACAACAAGGTTTTATAATTTTCATCCACATGAACACATCCTTCCAATGCGCTACCAAGCTCATGATACCTGTCCCTATCTTGACAAGGACACAATTCCTGCTTACCAACTTTCTCCATATAATCAAACTCAATTTCCAATAAACAACCAACCTAAACTATTACTCCCTAGGTTTCCTATGACGTTTTTTAGTTTGGGTACACCCCTTGAGAAAATTACTCTTAGGAATTAAGAAGAAAAAATATTTGAACCGAGCGACCTAAAGTAAATGTTACCCAAATCTGGAAATTCTGCAATCGTCAGAATCTTGGAAGCAAACAGTTATCAGAATCGGAAAACCTAGACGGAATGAGGTCTTAATCACCACGCAACAAACTGAAAAAAGGTCAGAATTAAGTGCAACCGGTGTTGATCTACACAGAACTGAGGGGTGACCCTGAGATTCCTGGTATGATGGATTGTTAAGATAGATCATTGATTGCTCTTTTTAAAGAATGTCATTTTTGTCTACAATTCTTCATAAGGTATGCACAACTCTTATTTCCTTTTTCTTTGCTATTGCTTAAACCAAGAAGCCAAGTGAGACAAATAGAATCTGCTAACGGGGTTCCTTCTCTTCCATAGCATACTATAACTCCAAAAGCAGACCTAGAAAACTTAATCGAGCCACTTAAAAGGCTATTGAAAACAAGTATATTTTAAATGCCCAAAATGCCCCTACAAGCCAAACACCCAATCTAAATTATAATTTATCTCATCTCTATACTGTGAAATCACCCTTAGTTAAAAAAATATGTAGCTTGGTTCTAGGATGTCAGTTTAGTAATGCTAAATTGGTACCCAAGATGTGGATGTAGAGGGTAATAAGTAGTTGACGCAAATAATGGGTTGCCTACACTGAAGCACAACAAAGTGAGGAGAATCACCCTCCATGAACTTTTATGTGCCATAGGCCTTTTAAGTGCGCCTTAAATGAGCCTTTGACAACACTGATTTGAATGAGACACTGTGTTGATTATCGATGAGTCGATGACCTTCAACATATTTGGCAAGTAAGTTTTTTGTTTCTCTATGTGGCTTTCAGAATTTAGATTTCAAAAGCAGTTATTTCTTCCTAGAAATGTTTCTTTGTTCCCTTTCTTGGAGTCGCAACTTGCCCACTTACCTCACATGACTTCTTCTTTTTGATGAGGTCACTTGCTTTACATGACTATTGTTTCCACTGACACTTCTATGTGAGTACACATTATATTGTATCAAAAGTTACATTGGTCATGCCTTGTTCATACAAAATGTTGAGACAATTGAAAAGATACAACAATGATAAATGGGAACTTTTAAAAAGAAAGATCTGAATGTTTCCCTTTTTAATTGACGCCTAGTGGAAATAAAACAATAAAAGTGTAGAGAAACAAAAGGAGAACATACTCTACTATGAGCTACATGAAAGTGAGATTTAAAAAAAAAAAAGTCAAAACTTATTATCAATCAGAAAGTAAAGATTTGCTAGCAAGTTCAGTTCATTTTCTGGCGAAAGAACAAGGCAAGAAATTATTATTACGTTGTCACAATGGGAAAGGAGGAATCCTATGGAACTGGGTACTATCTTAAAAGTGAGAACATAAATTTGAAATCAGGGTATGGCCTGAGAAAAATTCAAAACAGAAGAGAAACATTCAAAATGCAAAAAGATGCCACGAAAGGGAAAACAAACCGCAGGTAATTAACCTACCTTTATGGAGTGATAGAAGGGATTTCCCACGTCCATTTCTTGAGCGGGACGGTAATCGCCTCCTTTTGTCTTTCCAGAGCTTCTTATACTCCTCTTCATTGTAGGGCGTCATCAATAAATTCAAAACCTCCTTCCTGTACCAAGAATCTATGATTGTCGCATCCAGCTTGATACACAAAATTAGTAGCCAATGGTTACAAGGATTATCATGGTGAACGAAAACTAAGAGGTAACATAAAATAAAAGAGGGACCAAAAGAACCAGTGAAAGTAGCAGAAGAATTGAAATCATACATTCAGGCAATGTTCCACTAAAGGTACAAAGAGGTTAGTGCCTACCCCTGCACCTATATTCTCAAGGATTTCTATTTCACTTTGGAATATTGCCTCCTTCAGAGCTTCATAAACAAAACAACAATTATTACCAAATGAAGATTTGAAACAATGATATCTTCATACACAAATTTTTTAGCACGAATCAAATAACTTACAATCAGAATCTTCTTTAGTTTCAATTTTTACTTCTGCATCCATGAATTTGCAATCGTTCTGAATCTTCTGCTCCTTACCAGGTATATGTTCACATCAATTATGTGCTTCCAGTTATCTACTTCTCTATCCTTGTTTCCTCGCTTCTTACTCAAAATCCCTTCATTCATCTTCTGTCTCTTACCATGTACAATCATCACATCAAATCTATGATTCATGTTATCTAAGTTCCTATCCTCGTTTCCTTGCCTCTTACTCAAAATGCCATCTTTCA